TGCCGCCGCCCCCGGCCTCGCCCGTGGACACCATGCTGCCGCCGCCCACGGTCGCGGTCAAGCCGACCAACCTGGGCGCCGCCTTCGTCGAGGCCGCAGCCTTCCTGCTGGTGTGGAGCATGTGCGTCACCATCGAGGGTGCGCTGCGCTTCAACAGTGTCAACCCGTCGTCAGACCTGTCCGTCACTGCGGCGGGCACGGCGAACCGCATCGCCCTCTTCATCGGCGGCCTGGCCGAGGTCTTCTTCGGCCTCATGGGCCTCTACCTCGCCGTGTACGCCCTGCTCTTCCGCCGCTACTCCCCGTCAGTCACCCGCGCCGCCCTCGTCATCCAGGCCGTCCTCGGCACCTACGTCTTCCTCACCTTCGTCGTCGTCGAACCGTCGTACACCGCGGACAACATCCCCGTGACCGGCTTCCAGCCGACCGATGGCGTCATCTTGTCGAGAGGCATCACCCGCTGGCTCATCACCCTCGGCATCTTCACTTCGGCACACTTCTGCCTCGCCCTGCAGGGCGGCCAGTTCCTCTTCATGGCCCGCCTCATCGCCGCCGCAGAAGGCGACGACTTCCTCAAGATGCGCTCCGGTTCGCACTTCCGCGCCATCTTCTGGAACGCAAACTTCTCGATGGCCGGCTTCTGGACCTTTGTCTTCGCCTGCACCTACGCCAGCAAGACCGTCGACAAGACCCCCTTCGCATTCCCGCCGCACGTCGGCAACAACGCCGGCTTTGCAATCTTCGTCGGCCTGCTCATGTTCCTGTGGGGCGCCCTCGGCGTCATGCTGTCGCTGTCGCCCACCTCAGACTTGCGCTGGTACTACGCCGGCTGTGCACTCGTCTTCCTGTTCACTTACCTCAACTTCACCATCGTCCAACTCGGCTTGTTGGAGGGCGCCGGCGCCCAGGCCATCGGCATGCACACCGGCCTCGTCTTCTTCGTCTCGCTGCTCGGGCCCTACTTTCTGCACCAGTCCACCAAGAAGGGGGAGGAGTGAACCATCGACATAGAGCGCCCGGGAAATTTTTCGCTCCCACACCTTTCGTCTGGTCCCACCCCGCCGTGAAAGCTCCGCCGTCTCTGATTTACATATCACATATCACAAGCATATCTCGCCCGCCGTGCATCATCATTAAAAAAAGCAAAAAAAAGCGCCCCGCGTTCCGCGTCACGCGTTCCGCGCACCCCGTTGCGCCACCGCCTCCCCTCTCCCCTCACCTGCTGCCGCCTCCTCGCACTCCCGCCAGCACCTCCCCAGCCGCACCACCTCGCCCACGATAATCAGCGTTGGGCTCTGCAGCCCCGCCTCCCTCACGCGCCTCTCCAGCTCCCCGACCTCCGCTACCACCACGCGCTCCTCCGGCGTCGTCCCCCGCTCCACGGCCACGCTCGGCGTGCGCATACTCAACCCGCCCTCCTCCAACCCGCTCACCACCTCCGCCAGCCTCCCCAGCCCCATGTAAACAACCAGCGTGGTATCCGCGTCCACCGCCCCGACCTTGACCTCCGCCCCGCCCTCCCGCGCGTGCCCGGTGACGAAGCGCACCGAGCTAGCGACGCCGCGCTTCGTCAGCGGCACGCCGAGCGCGGCCGCGATGCCTGCCGCGGCTGTGATGCCGGGCACGGCGTGCACCTCGACGCCCTGCCTCTCCAAAAAGTCGACCTCCTCCCCGCCGCGCCCGAACACGAACGGGTCCCCGCCCTTGAGCCGCACGACCGTCTTCCCCTCCGCCGCGAACGCGCGCAGCAGCACGTGGATCTCCTCCTGCGTGCGCGTGTGGAAGCCCGCCTCCTTGCCCACGTACACCATCGTCGCCCCCGCGTTGACGTACGACAGGATCGCCGGCGACACCAGCCGGTCGTACAGAACCACGTCCGCGCGCGACATCAGCGACACCGCACGCAGCGTCAGCAGACCAGGGTCCCCGGGCCCCGTGCCGACTAGGTGCACCGTTGGCGGCGCACCCGCCGACGGGCGCAGGTGCTCCAAGGCCGCGTCTAGCGAATGCGGCGGTGTGGGGACGTCACCCGAAGCGCGCGGCGCGCTAGCCGCGCGGAGACGCGGCGGGCGGCACGTAGGCGTGAGGCGCGCCCGGCGGCGCGGGAGGACGGGCGGCGCGGGGAGGAATGCGGGCATGTTCGTCGTCATGGTTGTGGTGGTCTTTGGTTGTTGTCGCAGTCTTGGTTGTGGTGGTCTTTGGTTGTTGTCGCAGTCTTGGTTGTCGTAGTCTTTGGTTGTGGTGGTCTTTGGTTGTAGTGGTCTTTAGTTGTCGTGGTCGTGGTCGTGGGCGTGGTGGTATATGTGCGTGCGTGGCAAAGGAAGACAGGGAGGGGGTGGTGCAAGGGCGACGGTTGTGCTCGCAAGATGTGATGGCGAGGTGTGAGAGGAGGGCAGGGCGCCGCGCGAGAAATTTGGTTTTACAGTAGAGTGGGAGGGTTCTTACAGTGGGCGAGACGGGAGCCGTGGATCGGAGGCGCCGTGGACAGAAAGCCACAGGTGGCGGTGACTGGGTTGGTGCCAACCCGTGTCCCACTTCTTCACCCGTGTTGATGCTGGAGCCGGTCACACTCAATTGTTGAGACGTTGTACGGTAGGAAGTGCACGCGGCGTTGCTGCCCACGCCGTCCCTGCCGTCATGCAGCCACACGCCAGAGTGCACGCCTGCCGGCACGCACTGTAGCGCTCGCGCAGGTTGCCGAGCTCGTGAAGCGTATCCTCGCTTACGACGGCGCACAAAACCATCGCGTATATCTAGTGTCTATCCGACCAGGCGTTATCATAACATAAAGCGGGCGAATTTTATTTCTTTTCATCTTTGATGTCCACGGTTTCTATTTTTCTTTGGTACTTTAGGTTGACTCGTTTTCAAACGTTTCTCAAGTTAGAACCGAGCAGAACGCAATCTACGCAATGTCTCTATGCCTCTCTTATAAAATGAGGTTAAAGAAAGATAGTTTCTGTAGGCCGACGATTTCCATTAAAGACCGTTATGCACATCAACGAGCTTGTTTCCGCCAGAATCGACGGGCAAGTGCTCTCTACCTGCGGCGATGGCCTTCCACTTGCTTCAAACAGAATTGAAACGGCACGCTGCGTTGCCCAGAAAAAAAAGAAAACTTTTTGTCCGCATATGAGGACTAACGGCGCGATAGACGCCAGGTCGCACACGGCCGCCGGTCGGGCGTCACGCCCTGTAATGAGGCGGAAGATTCCGGCATGTCGATCAGTATGGGCATCGCGACCCGCGCCCCGTCGCGGCCACTGAGCGGCCGTGGCTCCCGTACCCGCGCCCGGCGCGCCGGACGCGCAATGGCGCGTCAGAGAGGATGGCGCGAGTGGTGCTGGCGGCGTCTGCGTGGAGGTTGAGGACGGCCAATCCTCCACGCAGACGCAGCCGGACCGGCGCAGGGCCGCGAGAAGCCACAGGTATGACATGTTTCCACGCCTCCGGGCGGCGCGTGGAGGGCTGTCTCAGTGCAAGTGGTTGTCGCCACCGCCGGAGCACGGTGTGGTGGGAGCATCTAATTGGCGGAGATTGATGTGTAATGCGTGTTGGCGGTGAAAAGTGGTGCTGGCTGCGGCAGTCGTCTGAGCGGGAAGAAAAAAACAGCCGACAAGCCTGTGAACGACGGTGTCTGTGGAAGTGCTGGCACTTCCATGGCACCACCTCTCATGTTGTGACGCCAAAAGCACCGATGCGTCCCTCCCTGTGCCCCCTGTGGAGAGGCGGACGACGGTGTCTTTAATATGTGCGTGTTCGATATGCCCCAACGGCAATGCCTTATCCGCTGCGCTGTCCTAGCTCCGGAAGGAACCACACATATCCTTGTACTCGCACCGTGGCACTCGCCGGAGCTGCGGACTTTCGGAAACGTCCACGGCGAAAAAGGAATCCGTCGAAATTACACTGTAAAGTTTGCGATACACGCTGAGGGCAGGCGTTGCGAAGGACGGCCTGCGGGGCGGCGGCGGGGGCGGGCGAGAGGAGTCGCGCGGCACGCGGAGCGACGACACGGGGAGGCGGTGTGCCGCGGCGCACTGAGCCACGTCGCTCGTTCTGCGCCGCGTTCCATCGGGGCGCGCGCCCCTGTCGCGCGCGCGCGCTGACGTGGCCGCCCCGTGCCGCCCGCCAGCCGCCTCCTTGCTGGCCGCGACGCGAGGGAGCCGCGAGCCGCCCGGGGCCCTCCTCTGGCCCCCCCAGCTACTGTACGACCCGCCGCACCTCCTGCGAACCACCCCTCGCGCCCCCTCTCCCGACCTCGTCCGCAGCGCATGCCGCGCATGCCGCGCACTCCCGATCCACC